GAAAACAGTATGGAGGTTCCTCAAAAAATTAGAAAGGGAGCTGCCGTTTGACCCAGTGATCCCACTTCCAGGAATATATCCTACGAATCCTGAAACACTAATCAGAAAGAATATATGCTCCCCTATGTTCATAGCAGTGTAATTCACAATAGCTAAGATCTGGAAACAGCCCAAGTGCCCATCAGTAGATGAGTGGATAAAAAAGCTATGGAACATTCACACCATGGAATACTAAGCAGCTGTAAAGAAGAAGAATCTCGTACCCTTTTGGACAGTATGGATGGACCTGGAGAATATTATGCTAAGCGAAATAAGCCAGGCAGAGAAAGACAAACATCACATGATCTCGCTCATACATGGAATTTAAAGAACTTAATAAACTGATGAACAGAATAGATTCAATGACATGGAAGCATAGAGGAGGCTGACGGATGTCAGAGGGAAGGAGGAGGGTGGGTGGGTGGAGGGGGAGAGAGTAACCAAAGAATTTATATGCATATATGCACAACCCAAGGACATGGACAATGGTGGGGAGAGGGACTGGGGAGGGGGAAGGGATGGGGAGGAACGGGTCATTGGGGAGAAAAAGGGACATCTGTAATATTTTAAACAAAAATAAAATTTAAAAAAATAGAATGAAGAATAAAAATCATATGGTCCTCTCAGTAGACTCAGAAAAAGCATTTGACAAAATTCAACCCCCTTTCATAATGAAAGCTCTCAGCAAATTAGGTANAAAAAAAAACAAAATCCCAGGGCGGCCCTGGCCGGTGTGGCTCAGTTGGTTGGCACGCCATCCTGTACACCAAGGAGTCTCAGGTTTGATTCCCAGTCAGGGCACATACCTAGGTTGCAGGTTCGATCCTGCTCCGGCCGGGGTGCATGAGGAAGGCAACCAATCGATGTTTCTCTCCAAACCCTCCCCTTCTCTTTCAATGAACATGTCCTTGGGAGAGGATTTAAAAAAAAAAAAAAATCCCAGGGCTCACTCTCACTGGCTCAGCAGGGTCATGTGTCAACTTCTATCAGCAGTGTGGCTAGAGGGGCCTCAGGTCCTGATGGGCCAGGACCAAGTCACACATTCCGCCCTTGCACTTGATTAAGTGGGGAAGGGAAGTTCTCCAGAAGGAAAACTGGATACTGTTTCAGGGGATTATTGCCAGGGTGAAGGGATGGCTGCTGGTGTCAAAAACAACAGCTGTCCCCTGGTACCTCCTAGAATCCTCAGCAGCAGCTCCTTCCTGGCAGGATGCATGGGTGCATGTGAAATGAGGTCTCAAGTGACCACCTGGCATCTCTTGTTGCTAGGGGCAGCAGGCTTGTCAGCGAGCCATGAGGGTGCTTACCCTCCAAGCTGGGTCCATTGACTGTGCTCAGGACTTCACAGAACTCACACCAGCCACTGGCTGCTAGGCCTTCTCCATAAATAATGGGTATCACTCACCCCGTACATAAGGTCAGTGTCCCAGGTAGTCCTAGAATGTTTCCTAATCTGAGTTTCTGTCACCTCTAAGCTCAGATCATACCCTGTGAGCACAGGCTGAGGTCTCTGGAGCGAGGGCCTAGGGACAACCCTGCCCCTTCCCTGGCTGACCTGGGCTTGGGTTTGGAGGAGGCTAAGCAGCCACACTGCAAAACTGGACTACCCTGAGTAAAGCTGGGACCAGTTTCCATTCCCATGAAGCAGCTTCCACCAGAAAGGGACCATGGAGTGGCCAGGGGCCCAAGGCAGGCAGGGCTGGCCTGCATCCAGGCCACAAGAGGCCACAGCAGGTGCCTGGCAGAAGCAGGCGGGGCACCAGGGCCTTGGGGGGACTAGGATATAGGAGGCCTTTGGACCCTGTACCAGCGCTGACAGTGGAGGAGAGGGAATACCAGATCCTAGCTCTCAGGCCTGGGGTGACCTGGCAGGGAGCTCAGAGAATGCCAAGGAGTGCAGCTGAGCGCCTCTGGCCGCCAAACCCCAATTCAAGCAGCCTAGGTACCTGGGGTTGTAATCAGGGCAGCGGCTACTGTGAGGAGTCCTACAACAGGGCCCAGAGATGACTAAGAGGGGGACCTGCCCTAGGAGGGTGCTCTGCACACCAAGCAATTTAATGGAGTGAAACAAAGAGGAGCCCAGGGTGCCAGACACAGGGATGACTGGTGACCTTGGAGGAGCCAACCCTAGCCTCAGCTCTGAGGAGGCCTGGGGTCTCCCAGGAAAAGGACAGTCCAGTGTTGGGCCAGCAACTGCTCAGAGGGAAGGCTTGGGAAATGACCACTAACTGTCATGTCTGACTGAGGTTCCAGCAACAGAGAGGAAGATCTTGTTTGGAGGGGGCCTGAGGCTGCCCCTGGGAGGGGGGGTAGGAGCCACTGAAGGGCTTTTTCCTGGACTGAGCAGAACCCCGGAGAGCCCCCTGCAGTTACTCTTTGGCCACCAGAGGGCGCCCATCTCTCATGAATCTTCCAACTTTGGTGCCCTGCCTTTGCCCTCGGAGACTTTGGGAGCAGATAGGATGGAGGTGACCCTGGACCCTGAGGACAGGCCCCCACGCAGTGGTTAATCGGGTGCCAGGCTCAGGACTAGAGGAAAGCAGGTCCTGCTGAAGCAGCAAGGGCTGTTCCAGACCAAACTTTTGGTGGAGTGAGGGGGTGCCGCTTAGACAGAGGGTGCAGCAAGCTCAGAGCACAGTACATATGTGAACTAATGAGTGAATGAATGAACAAATGAATGGAATGGACAGAATACTGACCATGTGCGGGGAAAAGTGCTGACTAAGAACTGGCTCCTGACCTCAGTGGGGGACAGGTGACGTGCAAACGCACATTGTGAGAACTGCTCTGCAGCAGAGGCCAGAACTGGGGAGGGTCCCCTAAGGTTGGGGACCTGGGGAAGGCATCTGGGAAGATAATGTTGGCACTGAGACCTAATATAGAGCGAGTCATGAGAAGTTTGGGAGTCAGACATTCCTGTGGCAGGAACAGCAAGTGCAAAGGCCCTGAGAGAGGACCAAGCTTGCCCTGGACACAAGGAGGCTGGTGTGGCTGGTGAGCAAGGGAGGTGAGGCACAGGGCACGCAGCGTGAGGGGGGATCCTGGTCTAAGAGCTTTCCTTACTGGGAGGGACAGCGCCCGGCTTGGTGACTTGCTATGCCCTCACCCTGGCTCGCCTTATCCATTTCTCAGCCTGTCACTCTGGTGCAGCTCAGGCCTCTCTCCTGCTGTCCAGACCTGCGTACCTGACAGCCTCTGACAGTTCACCTCAAATGCAGTGAGGCTGCCATGCAGCTCCGGACCTTCATCTCTGGCTCCTTCTGCTCAGGGGCTCAAGCCAGAGCCTGGGGATCCTCCATGGGAACTGCCTCCAACATCCAGTCTATCCCTGAGTTGTGATGATTTACCCCATGTGATGTCTTAAATCATGCTTCTCTCCCTCCCAGCATCTCCCCTTAACCCAGGCCTGTGGCCTCTGTGGATGTCGCTTCAGTGCTTTCCACTTCCCCTAATCCTACCTCGGTAACGGGCGCACAGACTGAGGCTGTCCCAGTCTGCCCTTTGCCCATGTGCCCTCGGAGCCCTCTGCTCCCTCCGGCATCCAGCCTACCCACGTATGGCTCCTCCCCTCAGTTCCCTCCCATCTCTACTTATCCGTATGGCCCTTCCAGTCTCAGCCTCAACTGCTGCCTCCCCAGGGAAGCCTCCCCTGCTGTCAGATTCCCTGGTCTGTGGCCCTGGACATATTGTTCTGAAGGAGCTGTAGATGGATGCCTCCCATTGATAATATTTGCACCCCCTCTGCCCCCGCCCTGGGGTGTGGGCTGTGTATGAAATACCCCACAATGTCTATCAGGAGGAGCTGGGGCCCCAGGGACTCTTTCTTGTGATAAAGTGGTGTGCCCCCGGCCAACTCTAAGGTGCAAAAAGGAACCCCCATATGGCCAGTATTGGGGGGCAGGATTGGTAGAGAGGGTGCATGACTTTCCGGTCCCCACCCTTTGTCCAGAACCATCCCTACAATGTCAGAACTCCAAACTGAGTGTTCTCCTGAGGGTGTCTGCTCCCCACATCCTGACCCCCCCCTTTCCTTACATCCATGTACCTCACTTGTACCCCAGGACCCCAGAGATGTATTTAAGACCACTCAGGAGAGACGAAGGAGGCCCAGGGTCACCCAGCTGGTGGCACAGGTGAGAGCAGGATCCACATCTTTAGATCTCGCAGCAGGTCCTGCAGCAACTCTCCACTTTGGTACCATCAGCCAATTCCCTGCACCTCCAGTTGGGTTGTCAACCCTCCCTGACTATGGATGATTACAGGAGACTTCTGCCCATAAAGCTCATCTGTGGAACCCAGCCTAGGAAACAGACCCCAGGTTTTAGTGGGCTCTAACCATCAGCTCTCCCTAAGGCCTGGAGCTTGAGGTCACAATTCCTCTATTAGTCAAAATGGCCCACCTATCATCTCCAACTATGCTCAAGGGGCAGGGTGGCCTGCCAGACTAAGCAAGGTACTTGTTTCTCCAGAGCCACGCTTGGAGAATGAGGGCACTGCTGCATCACTGCCCTGGAAACTAAGTCCAAGGTGCCACCTACCACCACCAGGGGGAGCCACTGCTGGACGAGCTCATCCAGAGGCCTGCGCAGGGAAGACCAACCCGCCCACTGGGAGGCTGCATCTACAGAATGGCAGCCACACCCCTGGCCTGTTCCTCCAGTCGGAGGCCCTAGACACCTTCCAGGGCACCCAGGTTCACTTGGCATCCAATGTGTTCCCACGAAAAGGTTCTTGGTACAACCAGTAGACAAACCTGGTAAGCCGCTCCCCCTTCAGCCCCTAACTTGTGCCCCCACCAGATCCCCTGCTGCCCAAAGGGAATACCCATCTCCTCCCAAACTATCTTCACCCAGCCCCTACCCAAGTCAAGAGCTGGGGCTGACTTCAAGATCATCCCTCATCTCTTTGCCCCCTCCCCAGGTTTCAAGAAATTGAAACAGAAAAAACAGGCTTGAGACAGCTTTGTTAGAACAACTCAGCAAAATAAAATTCCGGTTTATTGTTGGACATTGTTTCACACATACATCAAACAGGCCAAAAAAAATAAACAGCAACTTCAGACAAAAAAAGGAAAAAAAGAAACCTTTTTATCTTTGGCCTTTTAACCATCTCATACAAACCAACTACTTATAGTACAGCTAAGTACATACACAAAAAGTTACTGGAATGCTCGGAATAAGATTGTTTTTTTGTTGTTGTTTTTGCTTTTTTTACAAGGTTTTTTTTCTCCTTTGAGATTATAATGAACATGGTCACACCACAAGTAAAGTCAGAAGTAGGACAGAGAACGCTCCAAAGGCTGGTTTGGTCATCCCGAGATCATTAAAAATGGCTGACCCCTAACAATATGTACAAAAATATAAAATGTAAATAAAAAATACAAACAAATTTTCCTTTTTAAAGTACTTTTAAGAAAAAAAGCAGGGCCTTGGAAGTTTTGGTTCTTTTCTCCTCCCCTGTTGCAAATTCACGTTGTGGTTTTGGTTGGGTGGTGGAGAGTGCGTGTCATCTGCGGGTGGCGCTGCCCGCAGTGGGCGGGCAGGCGGGTGGGAGTCTCTACTCGAAGGTGACCACGTTTAGGTTCTGAGTTTAGATTCTGACACGGGAAGTGGAGGGTGAATAGGTCACGGCGGCCTTTTTTTTTTTTAAGTTTAACTTTTCCTTTTTTGCTGTCTAGTCATCCTCGTCGGTTTTCTGCTTCTTGGTGTCAACATCGTCATCCTGGGCAGAGAAGGGATTGTCAAAGCCGGCTCCAAACCACCGGGCCCACGCACCCACTGCCTCAGCTCCTGCTGGCAGCTCCAGAGCAACCCGCAATACCCAGCACCCCAAAATACAACTGGCTGTCCCCCCTCAGCCCTGACTCCCGGCCCTTAAAAGCCAGAACCCACCTCGTCATCTTCAGCTGCCCGTTTCCCCGTAGCTGCCTCGGCCTCCTCATCTTCATCTCCATCTTCTTCCTCACCTGCAGAACCAAACCCGGTGAGCCACACACACCCTCAGGAGCCCAAGACCAGGAGGCTCTGGGGAGGCCGGGAAAGGGGGAACTGGCCTGCGTTCCTCAGGGAATCTCCCAGCAACAGCTGCCTGGGAGGAATACCCCGGTGTCTCTGCTGCCTGACAAAGGGCCCCGGGGTACCCACACCACCCACGAAGGCACTTGTCTTCAGATGGGAGAAGAGGGGCCCACGGGCCAGAGGGTGGAGCGCTCCCCATGGTGTGAGGCGCAGCTTCACCTAACGCAAGGCTGGCTCCACAGGTACAGCCCAGTTGTAGGTGGTCCGCTGGCCCCCACCCGGAAAGCCCCAGCTCCTCCCCTGGGCCAGAGGCCAGGGAAAGGTGCCCCCAAAAGGGGAGACGGTCAAGGCTACTCACCATCACCCTCCTCCTCCTCCTCTTCCTCCTCCCCTCCTTCCTCCTCTTCTTCATCTACCTCATTGTCGGCCTCCTGCTCCCCATTCTCCTCGTTCTCCTCGACAGAAAACACGCCAGGTTATTACCGAGGACAGGGCCACTGCGGCCCGCGCCCCAGCCCCCAGCCCTGCCCAGCCTCCCCCACCCTGGACTAGGCCCAGGGTCACCCGAGGGAGGGAGGGGAGGGAGCGCCCGGGCGGCTGGGTGGGCGCAGGGCGGCACTCACAGCGTTCCCGTTCGCAGGCGCATCTCTTCCGTTCTCCGCCTCCTCCACAACTTCCTTCTTCTCCTTCAAGTCCTTCGGAGGGAGGGAGGAACCGGTCAGTCCTTCAGGCAACCCAGGGCCCCAGGTGCGCGGTGCGGGCTGGACGCCCAAAGTTAGAAGCGCCGCATTTAACAGGAACCCGCGGAATAAAAGCCCGATAGGGAGCGTGCCTGTCGCCCGGCCGTCGTGCGAGTCTCAGCCCCCAGAGAAACACTGAAGGGCCATGCGGCACCTCAGCCCCAAACCCGTCCGACTGGGCGGGCGGGCCCGGGACGCCTCGCGCGCGCACCCGCCCGACTCGTTCCCAACCAGAGGGCGCTCCGCCTCGCGAGCCCTTCTGGGAAGGCGGCAGGTATGTGCCGCAAATAAGGCAGAGGGAGGACCCTGACGCCGTGGGGGAGCTCCCGTGGGTGGACTGGCCCAGCAAGGGAGGGGGCCGACAGGCAGAACCGGGGAGGCCGCGCCACAGCCAGAGTCCGGCCCCAAGCCCGACGGTCTAGGGCCTGGCAAGTTCAGGCCTTTGAACAAACCCAAATCCCGCCAACCTCCCCGCATCTGACAGCTGTCCCAGGGGGGCCTGGAAAGGGGGGGCGGTAAAGTAACCCGTGCCTAGGCCCCAAGCGCCTCACCTCCCCCTCCTGGCCTCCAGTCCTCCCGCACACCTCGCAGGGCCGACACGGCCGGCATTCCAAAGGGCAGAGCCGCTGCGGGCGCCCTGAAGCCCCGTAACTTTTTCCACATGGTGCGGCTGGGCTGGCCGCCAACAAACAGGCATGGAACGGCCCCGGGCGCCGTCCAGAAGGCGGCCTCGGGGCACCTGTCGGCCGGGTTTGCCCCGGCCCGCCCAGCGCGGACCCGGGCGCTGCC